GTAGTTATGTAGGAAAATCACCTAAATTTTATGCTCTTATCTATGTGGCGTAAGCTACCCATTTCAGTACTGAGCTTAAAGAAACTGACTTCTTCAATCTCTCTCCAGTTTCAATTTATTTTTGTGAGGATAAGTACTTTTAAAGAAGCCAGTTATAAATTTGACAGGAAAAATTTAATCCACAAACTTTGTAAACATCCAGATGTCATGTATTTTTTGTATCTTTAGCTTTATTGTGTGGCCCACTGGGAGAGTAATGTGCTATGACATGCAGCCTGAGTCTTCAATAATAAAACTCCTTCTTTTTTAAAACAATAGTTCTAGCAAACATACATCTAGAATATGGGTCTTCAAATTTATTTTACCTTTAGTTGTTTCTTCTAATTTTAAGGTAGTTTTATTAGTTTGCTCATACCTCAGAGAAGAAATACCATTACCAAGAAATAGTGTTACCATGTAGTAATATGTATTGTTGACAGTAGTAGAATTTTTAATTGTAAATGATCCTTAATTTCATTTTATTTTCATGGAATTAATATTTGATTTGTGTGGCTAGAAATGTATTAATCTGGTAATTAATGTACATTATGCCAGAAACCTTCTGAAGCATTTTTGGGACATTCTAGTAGGTATTATAAAGAGTGCAACAGATTTTATGTATTTTTTTATATCTACAAAAGAGTTGGTATATGAAAATACATATTTCATAGTACTTCTTCATGGACTAGTTCATTTGTTACACTGGCAGATGTTGGTGTCATCAGCGACTTGAAATACAAAAGCGATGTTCTACAGGACATCCTTAATAGGGTTATTAAGGATCTTTTGATCAATAAATCAGTGAAAAGTTTGGCATTATTTAGAGGTGAAAAATTGAAGGATAAAACACCTTTGAAAAAGCTTAACTTTGTCTGACACTTGTAAATTATATTATAGCTTGGAGACAGAAGTTCTCTACCCACAATATGAAAGCATCTTATTATGCCTTACTTAAATGGGGTGGCTTCTCAACGTCTTCCAGTTGATTGAATGCATGGATTCTCTGCCATCCCAGCCCAGGTGGTGGCACTGGCATCTTTTTTGACAAAAGAATTTATTCACCTGGGTGTGCACAGACATCTTACTACTAAAAATATATTATTGACTTTAGGCCAATATCTAGATGTTGTGGCTTTGGTTGAACACAGTTAAAAGACATTATGCTGTCCCAAGTTCTGTCATAATCAAGCAACTAAGTCATGTTCACAAGTTATTATGTCCTAGATTTGGAAAAAAATGAATTAGGGAGGAATATATTTTTAGAAGATGGTAGCTATCCTGTGTTCCTACCTGAATGCTCTAAAAACAAATAATGCTATTTATTGTAGAAAATCCAAGTGTCCGAGAAAGGTATAAAGAAGAAATCAAACATTCTGTCAAATAACACTCTGTTTCCTATAAAAACCCTCCTCAATGTCTTGTAGAATGTCTTCCTAGGCTCCATTCTATGTGTGTATATGTATGTGGCTTAAATGGTATTCTATATGTTATGTTTTGAATTCTGCTTTTGATACCTAAAGTATGATATACATGACTTTTCATATCTAAGAAAATAAATATGTAAGTATAATATCCACTACACTTAGTTAACCAGGTTTATATGTTTTTATGGACATTTAGGAATTTTCCTTTCATTTGAAATAAGTAGTTTGTGTAAAAATTTGTCAGATATATTTCTATAAAGGGAATTAGTTAGTCAGGGATGTGCACATTTATCATTTTGGTATGTAGAACTACATTGTTACCCAGAAAATTTTTATTCCCAATTACAGTACATAAGATTGCCTGTTTTTACTCTTTAGTCAACCCTGAATGATATCCATCATCTTCATCTTTAGCAATCTGATTAATCACACAGATAATATCTTTATTTTAATTTTTTATTCTTTTATCATATTCATGGCTTTAAATATTGATACCATATGTAATCTGACATATCCATCTTATACCTTATAATTCAGACTTGAAATATTCAACTACCTCTAATACTGGACATCTCACAATACTTATTTGAACTTGTCCAAAATTGAACCCCTGATGCTTTACTCAAACTGGTTTCTTGCTGCTCTTTTGCATATCTGTTAATGGCTAATCCATCATTGCATTGCCCAGATCAAAAATATTGGAGTTGTGCTTACCTCCTCCTTTTTGTGTCTCATGCTTCATATCTAGGTCCCTTTTCAAAACCTGTTCACTTTCAGAAGATACTTAGAATTCTACTACTTCTCTTCACATCTGTGACTATCTACTGCTGTAATGCTGTTGCTTCTCTACTTTTTGTTGTCCCCTGCATTTTGTTGTCAACACATCAAGGCATCCTGTTAAATGTCAGGTGAATTGTGCCCATCATCTGCTCAAAACCCTGCAGAAAATTACATCTCTCTCAGAATAAAAGACAGAATTCCTCCACTGGCCAGCCAGGCCATACATGATTTGCTTCTCCTCCTCTACTTCTCCCATTCTTCTGACTGTATCTCCTCATTCTCTGCTTCTTTCACATGGCTCCAATCACGCTAGCTTTGGATCACCCAAATACCTGCCGTTGCTCCCTCACATCCATCAAATCTTCTCTCATACGTCACGTTCTCAGCTAGAATTTTCTTGACTACCTATTTAAAATAGCTACCGAATACTCTGAAATATTTGCTGTCTTCGTTCTTGCTTTATTTTTCTCCATCACATTTATCCCTTTCTAATATAGTACATACTTTTTCATTTGTTTATTGTCTTTCTCCCTCTGCTACTGTAAAAGCTTTGTGATAGCAAGGACAGTCTTTTTGTTTCATGGCTGTATGCTCAGCATCTAAAATAGGACTCACTAGTGCAGGCATGAAGTACATAGCACAGACCTGGGGCAAAATAAAATGATGAATGAAATTTTAGGAGTGCAGTTTGGAAGGGAGCCCCTTTGTCCATTTTCATCTTTTCTTATTAATATGCCATAAATTCTTAGCAACATTACACTTTTGTTTTATGTTGCAGATATTTGCTTTATCATCAAAGATTTTCGCTTTGCAGCTTTAACTGTATTTATTTCTCTCATCTCAATGTATGGTTTTCTACCTTGCTTGGAAAGCCTTTCCAGACTCAAAAGTTATTTAAAAATTTACCCAGAGTTTCTTCTAGTGTATTTAAAGTGTTATTCTTCATTTTAAGAAAAATACCTGAATTGATTTGCAGTTTCTCTTACTGTAAGGTGAGTAGTAGACCCAGCTTTACGTTTTCCTGAATATCTAGACATTTGCCTCAAAGCCATTTACTGAACTTTCTACTCTTTTCCTACCAATTTTAAATGCCACATTTTTTCCTGTACTAAATGTGTATGTATTTTATATAATACAAGAAACCTATTTGTTTTTCTGTATAATTGATCTACGTATTTCCATACTGTCATTTTCATTTCTGTGGCTAAATGGCACATTGGATTATCTGTAATTTATCCTGACTTTTTTTTTTTTTTTTTTTTTAGACGGGGTTTCATTTTGTCACCAGGCTGGAGTGCAGTGGTGTGATCTTGGCTCACAACGACCTCCAACTCCCTGATTCAAGTGATTCTCCTGCCTCAGCCTCCCAAATATCTGGGATTACAGGCATGTGCCACCACACCCAGCTATTTTTTTTATTTTTAGTAGAGATGGAATTCCACCATGTTGGCCAGTATTGTCTCCATCTTCTGACCTCGTGGTCTGCCTGGCTTGACCTCCCGAAGTGCTGGGATTACATGCGTGAGCCACCATGCGCAGCCCTATCCTGACTCTTAAATACCTGTTCTTTCATGCTTTCTCTGTATCTTTCACAACTAAAACCAAACAGGAAAATGTCATTCTCACCAACCTTATGCTAATAGGTTATGCTTGTATCTTTAATATTATGTCTACTAAACTAAGAAATATATAAATTAATAGGCTCCGAATAAAGTGACCTTTCTTTAAATTACTTTTTTGTTTTTATGTCACATTTATTACAAAAACCTGTCTGTTATATGATTTGTTTTATGTAATATGAGATCATAATTCAATTTTTGTTTTTTTATGCATTTATGAGACTTATTCTGACATCTATCATAGAATAAGATTTTATTTAATGATTTGTGCCAAATGGGTTTATACCGATGTGTAATATAAAAGAGGTGGAGTGAGCAGCTTTTGCTGTATTGTTTTGGTTTTGGTTTCGAATTTTACATCTAGTTAGTGGCTTTTCATTATTTCTTGTTTGTCAGCATATTTTTGTTTCTTATGTGACTGGATGCTTAATATCATTTGGGGGATCTATGCTGTTTGACTTTCACAGGTTACTGCAACTTTTTGAACGTTAGTTTTCTCATTTGTAAACTGGAGTCAGTAATAGTGTTTTATTAATCCAGTCACTGTTGTAATTAAATGAAATGATTTATGTAAAGTGTTTAGAATAGCATTTGACACAAATTATGTATTTAATGAATATTGTTAATTAGGGTGACTTATAACATCAATAAGTGCTCTAGTGTAATTTTGGGGAAAAGCAGCACCTAGGACTAAAAATTATTTGAAGTGATTCAGTGAAGTTGAGAGAAAAGGGTGAAATTTCCCTTTTAGTAATTTCCTTTATCTATATTGCAAATGTTGTACCAGCAGAGTAAAAGCCTGGCCAGTGACAGAGGAGGCTTAGTTTTCAGAGAAAGTAGACACAATTTCACTGCAAAGTAGGCCCTGAGAAATCTCTGTGTGTATTCAGATTAGCAATTTGAGATAATAGGAATATTTTTTTTTATAATTTATCAAATTAATAATTAATGTGAGCATTTGAAAGTTATTTTTTTCTCTTGCAAATGCAACATATTTGTCTTTAAAATTTTTTGGTGGAACAATGGCACTAGAAGAAACAGGTATTGTCTATCTTCCCTTCTTTCCTCTTTCACATCATGAGTCCAAGCTCCACTAGTCCATTGTAATGATTCCTGACTCAGTGTCTTTCCTCTGCAGACCCACTCTGAAGAGAGACCATTCCAATGTGAAGAATGTAAAGCTTTGTTCCGGACCCCATTTTCTTTACAGAGACACCTGCTAATACATAACAGTAAGTCGCAATTCAGGCGGTTGAGAACATAAGGAATTACACTTTGTAATTATAACCTTTGAGAATGCAGACATCCCAGAAGTGTGCCTATAAGTATTTATATAATCTCACTTTAAATGTAAGAAAGACCAAAAATTCTGCCTTTCCCTTTATATTTGCTTTAGTTTTCCACAGTAAGATTATTTTATGAGACATTTCATTTTATATAATTTCTTCCCACTATTTAAAGTTTGTATATAAAAGCATTTTCCATATTGAGAAAGATATCTTTGAGTTTTGTTTTGAAACATGTTTTGTTTCCTTTCAAATATAATTAAGAAAACATGTCTGACTCTTTAAATATGCAGATATCTGGCCTAGTTTTATTAGCTCACAAACTTTTCAAGTGGAAAAGGATCAGAGTGACTGACACCTTAATTTGAGGGGGGATACAAATATTGAGTCTCAGAAGTACCATGACATACTCAAGATTTCACAGTGCAAGGAGTAGCAAACAGGTCCCTTATAGGTGCTTTTCCTACTTACCACTTCCTCAGATTTCTTCCTTTGGCAGGGGCAACTATTTTCTTTTGGATTAACTTTTATACATACATACCATGAGGTGTTTTTCCTGCTTGCTACTGCCTCAGATTTCTTATTTTTACAGGGGCTTTTTTTTTCTTTTGGATTAAGTTTTATACATACACACCATGAAAGTCTAACACCTACACTCAGAGCTCTTTTTACAACATCACAGAATGCCCAGTTATATTACTAAAGGATATCATTTTATTGAGAAGAACATGATATTGCCAAGCTGAGTTTTAAAGTGGGTTCTCTGTTTAGATGCTGAAGTAGCCAGAGACTTACTACAGTTACTGTATCTAAAATTAATGAAAAAATTATGTAACATGGGTAATATTTATACTTCTTACTTTTAATTAGCTTAATCATTAGACAGTCTTCTATACACATGAAGTTCCTACTGCTGCTTAAACTTTTAATATTCTTGAGGATTGAAAAAAACAATTAATTTTGACAGTTGGTTATACAGAGCAGTATCTTGGAGAAATTTTCGTTTGTCAAGTGTCTAAAATGAAAAATAATAAAGGTACTAAGATTTCTTAAATATTGAGTGGTAATGATTCTGATGAAATGCAATCTGCTTCCTGCAAAAAAAGGTAGTGTTATTCTCTCAGGCCATTCTGTGTTCAGCTGATAGCTCTGAAGAAGTTATTAGTACAATTTACCATTTTTCCTATATAAAAAAAGAGCTATGTATTCAAAAATAAAATTTGTTGTGCAATTGCAGGAATTTCTGTCCTATTTGATTACCATTTTGATTTAGGAAAATAACTGTTATGAGATGAATGAATGTTAGAATAGAGATTTAGACAAGTAAACCTCATTCATGCTATTAAAATATCGCTAAATTTGACCTGATGCTTGGGAAATTTTGCTTGGGAATGATGAAATTTTATTTCTAATAACACCAATGAATTCTTAACAGAAGTAATGTGATATCTTTGCTTTTAGTTTTTTGGTTCTCATTCACTTGAGAAATAGAATTAAAGTGACTGTGTGTGGACTGTGCTGTGTAGCATGTGTTTAATATGATGTTGATCAGCACATTAATCACAGGCTTTATGAAGCTGCATCATTACATTTGGCCAAGAAAATCTACTTTGATAATTGAGTGAGTAAATGAGTTATTTAAGGGAAACAAAGTTAGACATCAGTTAGTGAAAAGAATGGGAAAACCAGAAATGGCTAACAGAGAGAAGACAAAACACTAGGTCTTGTCTTATACAATATGAAAATTAAAACCCATTTATTTAACTTCAGAACCATTTATTTAACTTTCAAAATATGAAAGCTGTTATTAGAAACTTATATTAGCTTTCTGGCTCAAAATATGAAGAATAACTTGTAATACTTTTGGAAATTTTTGGTATTTCCCAATACGCTGAACACCAAAAGAGAAGTTGCTGACTAGCTTCCAGGTACTAAGATAGGGAAAAATTCTGATAAATTTAACACAAAGAAATCTGCAATTAAAGTATGAAAGAAGAAAAGTAAGGACTTCCTTGCTATAGCTTGATAAGATTTTGTATAGGGACCAACATTTTTATTCACTTAATAGTTTAATAGGAGCAATCTTGGAGGGTTTTTTGTTTTTTTTTTTTTAATTTTTTTCAGTACCTGAATAGATTTGGTATTAACATTAACATTTACAGTCTTACATCAATTGATATTTCCTTATGCTATCACTGATTATACATCTTATACAAGCAAAATATTTTAATAAAACATAAAGAATATAAAGCAGTTTACAAGAATAGTACTCTGCAACAAAAATGCACAAATAAACAAAGCTCTCAGAATCTATCTAGTTCTTGTGTTGTATGAATGTGACTTTGTTTCAGACATTAAATGCCATCAGACATTAAATGCCAACAGGAATCTAAGAGACTTTAAGTTAGAGAGCTATAATTCTATTTAGAAAGACAAAGAGAAGGTAATTTTCTTTTCCTTTTTTCTTCTTTTTGTCCCTCCCTCCCTTCCTTTCTTCCTTCCTTTCATGTGAAGAAATAATAGGGTCTTCTCAATTCAGTGCTAGCTATGATGGAAGGAATTTAGAAGAGCTTGCTAAAATTGAGATAATCTCTTATTTAAATATAGAAATGTATTCTTAATTTTGCCTTGTAATCTGTAGGATATGGAAATCCATGCTAATATGATTGTTTTCTAAAAAAAGAAATTATATTCAAATACTATTCTGTCTTATTTATATAGTCACATACTACATGCGTTTTACACTTATAAAACACTGTGTTCGAATTGTGCACATATATTGTTGAAATTGTATTTAAAATGGCCACTCAAACTTAGGCCTATGTGTTAAGAAGAACTATAAAAACGGTGTTATATGAAAGTTAGAAAGTACTATAAGATTTCTATATATAGCTTCTGAGGTTGTTTTCCCCCCAGGCCCAGGCTGGATAATGAGAAGAAAGTGAAATAGCCACGGTGGCTGCTAGTCTTCATCCCCCATCCCAATTTAACTGCCTCTCTGAAAGACCCCCATCCCTCAAAGCCTTAGAGACTTTTTAGAACTGCCCAAGGGCTGAGTCAGGGAGCCCCCAGTCCAGGTTCCTGAGTCAGTGCTGAGGAAGCAGGGGCATTGCAACCCTTTCCTTCTTCCAGAATGGGAGGCCCTGAGCTCTGATGCACGCTCTCCTGCCCTCAGAGGCATTCTTCCTCAACTCTCTACCTACAATCCAGTTCTGCCTATTATCTATTTACAGGAGATCATAGGAACAGTGGTGGGATTTCAGGGGACTTTGGGAGGGGCCCAAAGGCTACTCACCTTGCTTGACAGTGGCCTTGTGTCACTGGAGTCTATTTACCTCAAATCCCAGCCCCTGCTGTAGAAGCACATACTTCTAAAAAATGTTCATAGTAACTTTGGACAATTTGCTAATTCAGTCCCCACATTTTCCAGTTGAGATAATGGAAGATGTAAGATGAAAGGACTTTGGCCTGAATTAGCAAATAATGGAACTGGAATTTGTTGTTAAAAATAATATGTTAAATTCTTAGAGCTGTAAAGCCAACATTTTGATAAAAGCAACTAAGTCTGGCATATATGGGAGGAAATTAATAGGCCCTCCTATTGCTTCTGAAATGTTTTTCTTTGTTTCTAAGGTGAGAGGACTTTCAAGTGCCACCACTGCGATGCTACCTTTAAGAGGAAGGATACATTAAATGTTCATGTCCAGGTGGTTCATGAAAGACACAAGAAGTATAGGTGTGAGCTATGTAATAAGGCCTTTGTTACACCTTCAGTGCTTAGAAGTCATAAGAAAGTAAGTGGAAGTCGTCTGTTAGTTTGAATGGATTGTATATTTAAGCAATATTGGGCATATATGTTAACTATCATGTGATAATTATAAATTAATCTATCAGAGTATTTACTCAGAAGGACAAATGCATGATTTATATCAGCTCTTTAGGAAATGTTCACTTTCTTTATCTTTCAGGATAGACCTCTATTTTTTCCATGAATGAGAACCTGAGTTAGATGTAGACTCTTCATAACCCATAGCTTTGCTGATAGGTGGCTTCTAGGAAGTACTCAATGAGCAAGAGCTTATCAATTTTTATATATTTTTGGATTAATATAAGTTATTTCTTTCAAAGAAATATGAGTAGTACCTTAATAATTTTATTTTTCAAAGCAAATTCTTATGTTTATTGGCAATTTAATTGACTGAGCCCTTTTGGGGTTGGAATGGTCATTGATCTTTACCTCTCTAAGAGCATAGGGAAGTTTCTGGGTATTGAATGGGGACTCAATAAATATTTGATTAACTCAAAATGTTTAGTGATTTGGAGATTATATTTTCTTGTGTTAAGCTACTTGCCTAATTACCTCAAAGAAATCAAGTTGTTTACTTGTTCAATAATGTATTTTTAGGTATATAAGTAAAATTTGTGTTATAACAAGTACACCTAAAGGTTTTAATGTTAACTCTTTATTTCTTATTTTGGAGACAAAGTCTCGCTCTATTGCCCAGGCTGTAGTGCAGTGGCGTCATCATAGCTTAGTGTAACCTTGAATTTCTGGGCTCAAGTGAGCCTCCTGTATTAACCTCCTGAATAGCTGAAACTACAGTCATGTCTCACCATGCCCAGCTAATGTTTTAAAATTTTTGTAGAGACACAGTCTTGCTATGTTGCCCAGGATGATCTTGAACTCCTGGGCTCGAGCTGTTCTCCTACCTCAGCCTCTGAAAATGCTAGAATTACAGGCATGAGCCACTGCACTCAGGCAGCATTAGCCTTAGAAGTAACGGTGAAGTATGGTAGTTTTTTGCCATTAGTATATGCTACTGAATGAATGTGAAGAAATAACTTCTGCTTCAATATGAATTTAATTTTCATATTTATCCTTAATACAACTGTTTCAAAAGGCTTGAATTGAGTAACTTTCTTTTCCTGTTTCTTTTTAATTTTTATGGGTACATAGTAGGTGTATGTAGTTATATACATGAGATATGTATGTATATATAGTCTGTTTGTTTTTTTGAGACAGAGTCTCACTCTGTCACCCAAGCTGGAGTGGAGTAGTGCCATCTTGGCTGTCTGCAACCTCTGCCTCCTGGCTTCAGGTGATTCTCAAGCCTCGACCTCCCAAGTAGCTGGGATTATAGGTGCCTGCCACCACGCTTGGCTAATTTTTTGTATTTTTAGTAGAGATAGGGTTTCACCATGCTGACCAGGCTGGTCTCGAACTTCTGACCATAAGAAATCTGCCCACCTTAGCCTTCCAAAGTGCTTGAATTATAGGCATGAGCCACCATGGCCGGCCTGTGATATTATATTTTGATACAGATATTCAATATATAATAATCACATATAGGGTATGTGGGTTCCTATATTTTTATTGCTGAATAATAATGATATTATCTGTTTTTAGATCTCTGAATAAAATATAGTCTTTCAACTTTCTTTGCTTGAATTACTTTTTTGCATGAATTTAACACAATTTTTTGTTATCTTTCAATAAATGAAGGAAAAGTATAGTGAGCTTTCAAGAGAGATTTCTTCGTTTGTCTGCAATAATAGTCACACAGTATATTTTGTAATGTATTGCTCATTTTAATCTTATACAATTATCCAGTATTGTTCTTAAAGTGAGCTGTTTCCATGCTTTCTTATCCATATTTAAGGTGGCTTAGTATTATAACTTTAATTTCTTTTGAAACTATCTAACCAAAATCAGAACCTAATAATATGATATATTTTTGAGTTAAATGAAAGGAATATTTTAATTTTTTTCATTAATATAACACTAATATCCTTTAGTTTGGAACTTCTTCAGTTTGGAATCAATGACAGTTATGTAAATGAACAGTGAAATACATAGCAGCAAAAGAAATGCTGTGATTTTATAAATATATTACAAATTAATTAGTAATTACATGTTTGGAATAATTCAGTGTTGTAACAATAGATATATATGTACAATTTCTAAACAGCCTTACACCAATGAAGAAAAAATTACTATATTTTGTACCTTCTGTCAGGGAATGAAAGGCAGAGAGATCTGTTATATGTTAAAATGTTATATATTTTACTTTAAATTGAACTATAATGTGGACCAGGGGAGTAAAGGCTTTTACTGAAGTGTAAAGATATATAACTCTTTTGTATAAGATCTTGTAGTAAAAATGGAAAGTTAAGTGGTTGCCAAATACAAAATCCAGGAGATACTTGTTGTACACAATGTCCTTGGCTAGCATGGTAGTTGATTTGACTGTGTTTTTCAAACTTGAGTATAACATAAATTGTTTCAAGGAAAAAAATTCAAAAGACCCTGAAATTGACTAAGGTATTTAGTTTGTAGCTCTTTAAAAAATTACAAATCTGATAGTGCATATCCAAATATACATTTTAATACAAATTGCAAATTTGTAAATTAAATATTAATAAGGCCGCAAAGTCTATTACATTAATGTTAGCAATTTAATATGGAAGATAGACATATTTTGCTATGGTGATGGTTCTTTGATGTTTTCAGGTGATGAGGTAATTGTCCCACTCCTTTTTTCTATGACAGCCAGTGTTCTCTTCTGAGAAATGTCATTTAAAAAACCTTTTTAAATTCTTTTTTCATTAGTCTATGGCAGTTCAAATACTACTTGTCAGTAATTTGCTTTTACACTACTAAGAGCAAGAATTTCAGAACAAGAATTCTAAAAGTAGTCTTAGAATACGTACATGCCTGAAGGGATTGCTTTCACCTCCCCTTTTCCCCAATCTTCTAAGCTTGAGAAGCACTGGGACTTGAGAAATAGCTCTGACCCTTCATTTATTGGAATGATCTGTTTTGATGTTGGGAGAAAAACCGGTCTTCTGATGAGGCTGTGAGGCCAGTTTAAAATGCTCCATCTTCCTTCTCTTTTGGGGAGAGATCACTCTTTCTCTTTGAGCTCTCCAGCTTTTATTGTAACTTACTTTTGACTATACTTACTCACCTTTCCTCATGTGATTGTGCCTAGATTAAAGGCATCTTGAGGACAGAAATATGCTTTCAAATTGACCACTCAGTTAACACCTGCTGATTTTAAAGGTCAAATCAGATGAATATTCCTTTTTGCTTTGCAGTAAAACCAGCCTAGTCAAACTGCATAACACTAGTAACAGATGACTTTATTGAGATTAATTCTGTCCTCAAGTGTTAAATATACACAAAGAATGTGAAAAATGCTTCAAAGTAAGTGTTTCTTGGCAGCCAGGAAGGGAGCTGTACCCCTATTTTGATTATGTGGTTTTACGAGAATATACCGGTTTTATGTAATTTAATCATTTTCAGTTGGAGCTCTTTGAGGGCTTAAAAAAGTAAACTGCAGAACTATTTTGAAATTAACACTAATACATGATTCTAAGGCATTTTTTGAGCCAATAGGACTATCCATCATAAATTGTTTAAAATCTCATTGTGAAATTAAATCATTTTAATGAAATGTAATCCTAGAAAATAAGGATTTACGATTGTCAGAGGCATTTAATCATCTTTACCTAACTCTTTGTATTTATTCTTAGTCATTTTATCCCTTTCCATTTAGACACATACAGGAGAAAAGGAGAAAATCTGCCCATACTGTGGCCAGAAATTTGCCAGCAGTGGTACACTCAGAGTTCATATCCGGAGCCACACAGGTATGGAGACTGTAATTAGACTAGTGATAAAAACCACTTAGAGAAATCACATGCTTCCAAGACAGGAAATGTTGTAATAGTACACATATCTTCCATATTAAGTATTAATCTTGGCTGTTTTCTCTCTCTTAAAGCATTGTAAAATCCAGTTTTTTCATCTAGAAGAATTTATAATAAGTATATTTTCTCAAACTAAGTAAAACATGTAAAGTAGAAATAACATTTTTAAGGTTTGGTTGTGATACAACTGTGATTAACTTCTATACAATTCTAATGGACGGAATTAGAGTAACAGCTTCACTTTTTATAGATAGTTAAGGGCATCGACTTGATTTATAATCCTTCCTGTAACTCATGTCAAATGTGGCCTTTTTACCTCAGAATGTTGCTTGAATGCTGTAGGATTTTATTGGATACCAGGGTAGGTGATGTGAATGTAATATCTGTTATGTCACGGATTGCTTCCTAAAGGGCCCCCTTCTTTTCTTACCACTTCCTGTGTAATTTCTCCAATGAAAGAAAGCCGTGTCCTAGTGAAGGGTGAATGAACAACTGAATATTCTTGAAAGAGCCTTGACTGGATTTTACCTATCACGTAGATAAGCCCTTGAAAAAGCCTTCAAAGAATACAATTAGTTTTGATAACCAGATGATTTTACATTAGTCTGGAAACTTTTTCCAGTAGCTACACTCTAATTACATGAAGAACTAGGTGACTGGATTATACCGCTGAAGCTTCATCTTCAAGGGCCATAGTATTTGGCTTTCTTTACCTTTGAATCCTCAGTACCTAGCTCAATGTCTAGCCTAATAACTGCATTGTCAATGGAGAAATGTTAAAGTAGGCCAAAGAATCAATACAGTGAATGTTAGGTATTAGTGGATGAAAGGATAACCTTGGAGCATAATTTTTAACTTTCTGACTAAAGTTAAAAGACATGGCCAGCTTAGTATTTTTATCTTAGAGTAGGTACTTAAATACTTTTAAATGAAACACATAACCAAGAACAGATAACTGTGGAATAATGGGTGCTCTAAAGAAGAAAAGGAAGGTTTTTCTTAATTAGAAGTCATCTAGAGAAAGTGAGGCTTTCTGAATCCAGTGTTGTAGAAGCAGAGAGCAGCAAAGTGAAAAGTAGAGAGCAGCACATAGGAATGAGCAGCAGAGAGCCACGTTGAGGGCAGGTGTAGTTAAAATTGTGCTAATGGCCGCTGGCACCAGTAACTGATAACACAGAAGTAAGGAGCTAATGAAGAGGGAACAGAGAGTTCTAAAGTTCCTGGGCAGCCCTGCAATCTAGTGGTATAATCCTTGATGTCACTGGGCAGCCCTGTTTTCTGTGTATTTGTGGCTGTGTGGAGTTAGGATGGGGTAAGGGCAAGGGTGAAGTCAACAGCCCTTTACTCTGATATCAGTGATTCTTAGAAGATATCTTTGTGTCAGGCTTAGTTTGCTTAGCAAATTTCATGCTATATTAGAGGGCATGTACATATAATTTGTATATGAGAGGAGGGCAAGTAGGGAATAGGATATGTGTATTATATATACATATCAGAATAGTACATTTATAGGAATGCCCCAATACATGATGTAATTGTGTTATGTTTGGTATAGTGTATTTTTAAAAGGCAGGGACTTACACTGTTTAGAATGCATTAAAACATAGGTACCAGCACAGAAAATATGAACCCAATAAAGTAGAACCCTTGATTACTCAAAATAATTCCATCCTTGAGGATATTGAATGCCTACATTTTATTTTACTCATAGTACAGCTAGGCAGTGGAAAAGAATAAAGCCCTTAAACTAGTAATTGTTCATAAAATTTTAATTATTATTATCATTCACAAAATGACAATGATAGGATTTTTATAGCTCCAAAAACACTCCCCGATAAAACTGTTAAATATACATCATGCTTTTTGTTGTCTTATGTTCTGTATTATATATAATTTAAATTGTATTCTAAACTCCACATCATTTTATGTGTCATTTGGTTATTTATTATGCACATGAGTCTGGGCCAAATGTTGTACAGATTCTGGTTTATTAAATGTGGCTTCTGATCAAGAGAACTGGTCATCTAAATTCAGACAGCAGTGCTAAGGCACAATGAACTAACACATACAATTTGATTGATAGATAGGTAAAGAAATTATATATAAATATATGTGTGTGTGTGCATATATATACGTATGTGTGTGTGTATATATATAGAGAGAAAGTGCTGTATATATTTGTACAAAAATTGTATAATTCTAATTGTTTAGCTATTTACTTATAACTAGATTTTTCTATTTAAAATAATTACTATACTTTCACATTTTTTCTCATTTTACACTTCTTCTTTAGGTTCTTTTGATGTCAAGCCTATGCCCTCAGTGACCCACTGCCTAGTAGTGTGGATGGGGTTGTGTTGTTAGTGGTTGGTGTCTGGCATCTGGGCCTCCGTAACAGCCTGGCACAAATTTGTGTTCCTGCATGGACAAATGATGCTTTTGCTTCTCTTTTATTTGCTTTGTCCTGTTCCTCAAATGATAAGCATCCATTTGCCCTCCCAAGCTACAGCCTGGTTCAGTAATTACATGGTTTTATGCAGTTATTTCACTGGTATGAGAGCAGAGCTCCAAATATTTTGATTCTGTAAATTCAGTGTTTTCTTCTCCCTGTGTTAATTTTCCTTATGAAGTCACCTGGTTTTATGTAGCTGTTTCTCAGTGCTAGGTGTAGCAATTTATGAGTGTGCTATCGCATGACAAAGGTGATGGTCATGACCTATTCTTCAGGAAGTATTTAGTTATACATTATTTAGTGAGGACACAATGAAGTGGTGAGGACCATGAGTGAGGGCGGGGTAGGGACAGTCAGGAGAGGACAGCTGATGCAGCCTCTGTGGAGCAGTGTTCTTTGGATCAGTGACGCTCATGTTGTGGCCTTATCACTCCACACCATTCTTAAAAATAGTTGAGGACTTTGGAAAGCTTTTGTTTATGTGGGTTATAACTATTTGCCATATTGGAAATTAAAGCTATTTACCATATTAGAAAATGTAAAAATATTTACTTGTTAATTTACTAAAAATAGCAATATCATACCCATGATATGTTAGCATACGTATTTTTATAGAAAATATGTGCATTTGCCAAAATAGGAATCATTTAGTGCAAAAGGAGAGGTTGTTTTACATTTCTGAAAGTCTGTCTGGTTTAAGAGGAGACAGCTGGATTCTCATATCTGTTTCTTCATTCATCCTGCTGCAATATGTTCTTTTGATTGCAGAATTTGAAGAAAATCTGGCCTCACGGATAAGTAGTTAGAAAGGGAAGGTATTTTAATAGTTGTCAAATAATTTTGGATGTTATTACAGTGGATGATATTACCTTGGATATTATTACTGCATTAAACCTCAAAAAAAGGCTGATGTTTTTAAAGGCTTATTGTTGTGTGGAACCTAAAATTATCTCAGCGAGCTTTGCTTATTCTGTTACAGTAAAATCAGTTGGTCTGTGTTGCACTAAGAAAGATCTTTTACCCATGCATTATTCTGTAACATCATCATGTTACAGATAATTTGGAAAATATTGACTCACTAAGTTATGCAGATCTTTTACTTTTTACTTTACAGGATGATATATTAATATCATTGCTGATCTCATTAAATCACCTAAATATTCAGAAGCCTTCAAGCAATTGGTAGCATTCTAAATTTTGCTTGACTGCTGTAATTCCTGTATTTAATAAAAATTCCTATCATTTCCTTTTTTCTTTATTTTTTTAAAATGACAGGCTTAATTCTTTTATTTTCAAAGAACAAGCATTCACAAAATGTTTAATAGCCATAATTTGTCAGTCATTTTGTTTCATATAAAAAGGATGGTTCATGAAAAAAACTGCCAGGTCATCTCACAACTCAGTTACTTAAGTACTTTTCCTTGAGACAATTTTCATACGTCAGTATGCACTGCAAGTACTTTCCAAATATCAAAAATTGATTTCCAAATATCAAACAGATGATACACAAAGGTTATAACTTAATAAAATTAATATGTTTTACTTTATCATGGATATTCTCAAGTGAAATTTGCATTTATTTCTACTGTGAGTTTGTGGCTGTGAAGACTGCAGTGACTAGTTATTACAAATTGAGGTCACTAACAGTTACTCGTTTTACTCACCATTACTTTTATACTATTAGTGTAAATGTCAACATGGTGAAAAAGACAAATAATGTAACAGTAATATTATGAAAGTAGTTTTGACCTTGCAGACCTTGTAAAAGAGTCTTGGGGATTCTCAGGAGCACTCAGGACATGTTTGGGGAGCAAATACTCTTGATGGGCCCTGGCCAACGATTAATACCTAGGAAAATGCAGTTTGTGTGAAATATGTGTTGGCCCGTGTGAATAAGAGCCCAGCGGACAGGCCATTCTGTTTAACTGGGGCCATTTCTCTCACTTGATTTCTCAGACTGGTATTGCTTCCAACTGTTGCTGCGGCATTCTTGATAATATATTTTCAAGCTTTTGCCACTGTTGCTGCTGCTGCTGAAACATGTTAATATCCATTGGCATTGCCTTTGCTGCAAAAGTCAGTTGATGAGTAGGTTTGCCAACTTTGACTCTACTTTCGCATAGGAACTGTTCACTGTTGGGTTGATATTATTATGTTTATGACTGTAAATAGAAAAACATTAAGGCTTTCTGAATTTGGGCTTACTACTTGATATATTATAGAACTTAACTCTAAAACTTGCCTGCAGATAGCAAAAGATAGAAATTTGATAAAAGATTACCCTATCAGTAAGGTTTTTGCTGATATTTGAAATTATATAGTCAGGATTCAGGGGACTCTGGGTTCTCATGAGATTAAATAACTTTCCCACCTAGAGAGTTGCCCTGCTTAGTAGAAACAGATCTCAGTGTTTCCTGTTATGCCCTTCTTTGCTATAAGAGTCAGTCTTGCATAACAGAAAGAGCAGGGGCTTTGGGATAGCTGACTT